CCCCTCCCCCTGTTTGAATTTCATCCTGGGGGAAACCCTGAACTCGTGTCTGAAGTAGATTCGTGTGCCGTCTGGTGTTAGAGAGTGCGTTTGAACGTCGTTGATGAGTGTTGTACACTGCAGTGGTGTTGTTCATTAGGTGGTGGCATTGTTTACGCTGCAGTGATGTTATTCATTCTGTGGTAGAATTATTCATTCTGTTGTAGCATGGTTCACTCCATACTAGTGGCATGGTTCACTCCATACTAGTGGCATTGTTCACTCTGATATTGCATCGTTCGGATGTTAAACGTGTTTGGTAATTTTTTGTCATTGGTAAAATGTGGTTGCAATGTGTCTATAATCTGACCCTCTGCACACACATTGTGAAAGGCATCGTCGGAAATCTGATTATTAAATAGTTTATCATGTAAAGTCGATTGTGTTAGACGGTGCCTCTGGCAGCAACGCAGCCGAGTTTGTGCGGCAAAGTTTGTTCCCGTCAGTGCGTTATTGTAATGTCGTGGATTTTTTGGGCAATAAATTCGATTTACTTGTGTAAATTACGTCGAAACTTGCATTGTATGTCTCTTGCAGTTACTGTTCGTGTTCTGAGCATGGTGAGCCAATCCTACGGTGCAGTAAAGGCTATCTTCATGCTCCTCTGCATTAAAACACTAGTCTAAGGCTAAAACAAAATATAGGTGTGGTTACGGTTTCCCGACCGTCCCTATTTATTCCCAGCGACCCTAAACATTTTAATTGTCAATTTTCTTTAAAGTAAAAAAAAATAAAATATGAATTGGACAGTTCCTGCTTCAAAAGGCACAACGCACATCCTTCGGACATGTTTCGTAAATAAAATATTTCAAGAAAATAAAATGTTTTCCCTACCAGGTGCTACCTACCTTATTTTTTTTCGGCATGTGACGGTAACCACACATATTTTGTTTTGGCCTAATCACGCACCCTGAATGCTACTTGCCCTGATTTGTGCATGGTACTGCCACCTGTGGGCCATCGACGAAACATTTACTTTGTCACCGGGGAAAGCATCTCTCGTAACTCTCTCGTCTCTTAATTAATGAGGGTTAAAGTGTTAATGAGTGGTTACCGGAGTCTGCTGATGTTGAAGTGGGTGCGGCGAGTGCTGGAGATGCAGCTGTTGCCTCTGTCCGATTCCAGGGATAGTCTAAGCAATAGCTGTTCTTACAAAGATTTCATCGAAACCAAAATTGCCTCAATGTCAGCCAGGCCCTGGCAAGGCCATGGCTGACAGATGCTGTCTAAGATTTCAGTAGCAGAATTTTAATCGTTGATAAAAAGAACAAATATTATTTGCATTATAAATATGTTGTGCGTAAAGTTTTTGATGCAGTTCGGTATTTCCCCCCGTTTTTTTCTGGTGTTCCCTTCGCTAATTATTGGATGACGGTTAGAGATAAAGTTTAGGTATTATATTAGGGATGGAACTTCGTAAATATTCGACCCACACGTTCGTCGTCGGTTCAATAAATATTTATAGCAGCGTGACTGCCAATGTTTAATTCTATAAGGCATTCAATCTTCGTTTTTCAGGAGAAATCTGATTAAATATTGACAGCTAGATGGCACCACTGCTGTAGAGCCACCCTGCAGAAATTCTATCGAGGGAGAAACGGCCCCGCCAACACGGGAGAAGGTTGTGAAGGAAAGAGAAGGGGCACAAGGTAAACAAACCATTTTATTACTATCACAACGACTATAGGTGTTGAAGCAACAGTAGTAGGGCGTCCATAGCTGCAAGCCGCCACTCCTGAATAAGCATCGAAACAGAAATTAAATTAAAAATCCTCAAAACACTGTGTACTGGCACTTACAAAAACACATACACTTTATTCATGTTAAATAACTACAGATTCATGCTCATATGCTCTGCTCGAAACTTGATGGGCCAGCTCTATAACTGACGCGGAACATGTTCTACAAAGGTAGTCGGATCACATTTCATACACAAAAAGTCGCCCAGCCGTCTGCCCTGGTGGCTTTAACGCCACTGACGGAACTGTCACGAATACATCAACAAGACAAATTTTACTCTAATGCTTTCTAGACTCCGCGAGAATGCATTCCTACAGCGAGCGCGAGTAATGCAACTTTATGCAGCTCTAGTGGCGCGAATTTCTGCGGAAAAACTGCGAAAAAATGCACATTTTCTAGAGACAGTATATGCAACGGTGAACAATTTCTGGAGGCCCTACTGTTGTTACACCCCTCCTATAGCTGACCGCAGCTAATTTGTATACTTTATCGTCCCAAACTGGGATAATATGTTCTGTGCCAAACACAGGGTCTACTGAAGCTAGTCAATATTGCGGGATTTTCCCGAAATAAAATGCTCATGTTGGATATACAAGTATGCGGCCTCTGCGCTCTGCTTGTCTCTGCGTTAACGACTGACAGGAAAAAAAAAAAATAAAAGCAAATAAAATAACCAACAAACCCAATAACACCAAAATCCCATCACAGAACAAATCAAGAAACATATCATGTATTACATACTCTTCCTTTCTGGAGAATGAATAGAGACAGGGGAATTATGGAAACCGCGAGAGGGAGAGCCACGCGTAGTATACGCGGATTAATAGAGTAGGAGAGGGCACTCGCGCCTATAGCGGAGAGTGAGAAGAGAGGGGTCACGGTAGTAGAGAGATGGAGAAAAAGAAGTATAGAAGAGTTAGATTGAAGAGAAAGAGATGCGATAGAGAACCAAGCAAGGAGAAGAAAGAGAGATTGCAGTAGCACAGAGGAGACGTATTTGCACGAGAGATAGAAAGAGCAAGAGATAGCAAACCTGAAAGGACGTAATAACACCGAGCCTCATTTCAACGCACAAAAGTGCATCGCAAAGATGCACGAAATAAAGAGAGGGATATAATCAGAGAATAAGAGAGTAGTAGAGAAATTAGAGCAAAATAGATAAATATATTCTAATATATATAATATATACCCAATTGTACATTCTGTTCACCTAAAACGTTCAAAATATTCTAATTTTCAGATGGGCAATCACAGAGATTATATTTGATTTAGTATTAACTTAACACTGATGCGACTGTCACACACCATCGTAACTCCCCACTTATAAAGTTCTTCACTGAGCAGAGATGACATCGATAGATGAACACACACGCGGTCATTTGCTGAGCCTTAATTAGACATTCCATAGATTTATAACTGAAGTGGGCTAGAGTTAAATACACATTAGCAAGAACCACCCGGCGAAGTAAACAGTAACCGTCGTCCATCGACGCCCACTTGAGTAACACAAGATGTCTATGGTGAGGTTCTAATATAACACGCCTAACGTGGCCGCCACGGCTCCCACATCCCCCCGCGGTCACCATCTGCTGCGCTTATCTCAATCCTAAATTTCCTCACCCCTGTGATTTTGGCAATACATTATAAGTATCTCACCCTCGAGCATCCACACATACATCAGCTCTGTTTCCCAACAGCAAGTAAGAATGTGCGAAGAGGCGATGATGACTCACGATGTTGTTTTATCGTTATTGCCGCGTACTTATTTCGTGGGTGAGGAGAGAAACGCCCTTGTTAATCGCAAGAAGAGACTAGCAACCATATCACCCCGTGCTTGAGCTCATATGAATGCGCTTCCTCTCACATAGCATGACTGCTTACTTCGAAGTGGCTCTCCTGATATCAGTTCTCACCCTGGTCCTATCATGATTCTGTACATTGTGCGGCGCTACAATATGATAAGTGGAAGTGAAAACTATGTGCCTTATTATAGGATAGTCAGGAGTGCGAATGCACTATCCAAATAGTGTATCTGTGTGAATCTTCTAATGCAGAATACTTTCGTCACACTACGGAGAGTGCAGCTGAGTGAGCTCTACATCGGGCCGCAGCTGTCGGCTCTATGCATAGCTGTTACTGTGTACCTATGTACATAGTTCACCATGTGAGGCTCTAATGATCACGTGCATCAGTACTCACTAAATTGGATACAGTGTACTGTGCGGCACTCTGATAGTGCATCGACGTGGCTCTCTGATAGGTACTGTGCCTCTGATAGATCGCACATGAGACTGACTGCACTAGGGTGTACTCGTACTAAATGCGTGGCCTTTCTAGCAGGAGTGATAAACACGCAGCTCACATGATAGTGACAGCTTGACGCTCTATTGCACTAGTGCACTCGAGCTTCACTAATGATAGTGTACTTGTGGCTCAAATAAAGTCGTAAATGGTGTCATAACTATGCACTGAAAAGTGCACCTGTCGGCTCTACTGACACTGTACCTTTCGCGTCTACAAATGGCGCGCCAGCTCGAGAGCAGTAGCTACAAAGTGTACTGTGGCACAATATAGGCTCGAGCTACGTTGTGGCTTCTATAATAGTAGAATCTTGATGTCGTTCATATGTATCGAGTCC